TTAAGTTTGTTTAGAAGTGTTAGGCTAGCATGTCCAAACCTCTTATGCCAAATCCATTGATTATTGTCAGAAACAGCTCTCAAACAGATGGACTTGTCTTGAGGGATTTTATCTAAGAAGGTGATGTAAACATCATGCTTCCTGGTTCCCTCACATACAAGTTCTCCTGTTTGTGAGTTAACTATGTGACATAGGTTGGCTTGAAACTCAACTCTATTACCTTTGTCACATAATTGAGAAATACTCAAGAGATTATGTTGCAAGCCTTCAACATAATAAACATCATCTATTGCGTTAGAAAGTGTCTTACCAACCTTACCTAAACCAGTGATGGTTCCCTTGCTGTTATCCCCAAAGGTGACACTTCCTCCATCAAAGGCCACTAGTGAAAGGAATTGATCTTTATCCCCGGACATGTGTCTTGAGCAACCACTGTCCAAATACCAATAGGTGTCTCCCTTCACTCTAGCCTGCAAGAGCAAATCAAACATTAGATTTAGGAACCCAAACATACTTGGGTCCCTTTTCAACAATATTAACAACTTGTTGATCCTTTCTTCTCCAAACACACTTTGCACCCTTGCTGTTCTTATTAGCACTAATTTTCTTAGCTGGACATTCATGTATCTTATGTCCATTTTTACCACAATGAAAACACACATGCATCTCTTTAGTCATGACATACTTGCCTCGTTGATATTCTTTGATCCAGGTGGTTTCTCTAGGAGACCAGTTAGTCCTGGTTCTCTGTCTAGTATAACCGAGACCAACTTTTCCTCTGTTTCCTCTTGATGAAGTCAGGTAATTTAAGGATTTTTGAGCATTCAATAATTTGTCCACATGTCTATGACTATCATTAAGTTCTTTTTCTCTGGTTTCAAGTGTCTTAGTCAACAATTCGTTTTTCTCTTTAAGAAAATCAAAGTTACTTTTTAAAGCTTCGAATTGTAGATTAAGCTTTGAAACCATACGGTCAATAGACATGTCAACAACCACTGGTTGCTTGTCCTTTTTCAGTTGATTGATTTCCGCATGCAAATCACAAATATTACTTTCATACTTATCAATCATATTACTGACATCTACACTGGTACCTGTAGGGGAAACAGTGAACTGTGCAGCTTTAAGTGAAGCAATTTCCTTGTGAGAATTTTCCAGGTTGTAAGCCAATGTTTCAAAGGCCTTCAACAAGGAAGTTCTAGTACATGAATTTGCTTTACTTATAGCTACTGAAAAATCAAGAGTATCACTAGTGGTTGATAAGTCTCTAGGGAACCAGGAGGTCAGATCCTCTTCACCATCAATTGGTTCAAACGATCTTTCCTTTTCTAGTTCCACTTTACACTTGTCCAATTCAACCTCTAGTTCTGCTACTTGATTTTTTAGTTCATAACAGACTCCTTCTAGATGATCACAGCTAGCAATAGCAATATTACATTCACCACTTTTTTCTTTTAATTCTCTTTTGCAAATTATGTATGTTTCACTTAATTTATAGCATTCATCTAGTAAGGAATCAATACAAGCAAGCATATTTTCTCTATCATATTCATGCATATCTTCTCTAATTTGCTCTAAGCTTACCTTGCGTTCATGTAGTACATCCTTCTTTGCCATAAAGCATTTGTTGAATGTACTGGTTCCCCCTCTGGTTCCTGGACCAGTGTTGTTTTCCTTGATGTTTGTAAAGGCAGTTAGGCAAACATCTGAGTTGGGTGATCCTTCTTCTTCATCTGACCCTGAGTCAGAGTCTCCCCACATGGAAGCTATCATGGCATTCTTGTATGCTTGTTTATCTCCGGATTTAGACTGTTTGTCATTCCACTTAGGACAATCTCGAATAAGATGTCCTTTTTCTCCACACTTGAAACATCCTGTAGAAGAAGAATTAGAGTTAGATTTTTTTATAGTTTTTAAAATGCTTACCTTTGAAATTCTTTCTTTGATCTCGAAGAGATCTCTCAAATCTTTTTGCAATCATGCTAATTTCATCTTCATCATCTTCTACTGTTCCCTTAAGCGCCATGCCTCTTGCTGGTTCCTTCTCAGACTTAGAGTCAATCAGCATCTCATGAGTCATAAGGGAACCAATCAGCTGTTCCAGAGACAAGGTAGACAGATCCTTTGCTTCGTATACTGCTGTTACCTTGGCTGTCCATGCATCTGTTAAACTACGCAATAATTTTCTCACAAGATCCTCGTCAGATAAATTTTTACCAAGAGATCTAAGATCATTTACAATAGTCATAAACCTACGAAAGCAATCATTGATTTTTTCATTTTTATTCATGGCAAACAATTCATATTTAGACATGATTAAATCAATTTTAGACCGTTTTACCTCACTGGTTCCCTCAAACGCAAGTTCAAGGGTGTCCCATATCTCTTTAGCACTACTGCAGCCAGATATACGATTTGTTTCGGTCTCACCTATTGCTTGTTGTAGTATTGACATTGCCTTAGCATTCTTCTCCAGCAACTTGTGATCAGCAGTGACCAATTCGCTATCTTTCTTGGGAACCTGGTTCCCCTCAACATCTGTCTTGAGAATGATATTAGGACCATTTTTAACTACGAGCCAGCATTCATAATCAATACCCATGATAACATTCTGGATCCTGTTTTTCCACCAAGCATAATTATTTCCATTAAGCTTGGGTGACTTGTTGTCATAACCGATTGCACTTAATTCTTGAGTACTCATTCTTAACTCCTCTAGATGTTACTCTTTCGAGAAGCTTAGGCTCTGATACCAATTGAAGGTTCAATGGGCACTCAAGAGGGGGGGGGGTGAATTGAGTGTTAAGTAATCGTTAGCGATTTTTGCTTCTTTTCGGATTATGTGTAAGGAACCAGTTGTGCTGGTTCCCTTATGCAGCGGAATAAAACAAAGCAATAAAGAACACAACAAATTTAACGAGGTTTAGCCAACTCAGGCCTACGTCCTCCTATCCTAAGTCCTTTATTAATCTACTCCGAAAAACAAAGACAAAGAACACTCTACTGTTTCCCTACTCCGGGAACCAGTCTACCCCACACTCTACTCCGAGTGTGCTCTCGACTTACACTCGTAAGCCCAATGTGTTTGAACTCACAAACACTCACCCAGCCTTTAACCCCTTTGTTAAAGACTCAATACAAGAATCAAGAACTCTCCTTTGATCTCACTTCTACGAAGCTAATTAAGAGAAAATGTTTTTGTACTAGAATGCTCTTGTATATGACTTGATGAATGGGATTAGTGCTTAAGTATATGCTCTCAAATAATTGCTCTTTTTAATTTCTGGAGAGGCACACGAAATATGTGAAATAAGATGAGTTTATATAAGCTTAGATTCCTAAAACCTAGTTTCCTTAAATCACACAATCTTAGAGAATAAGATATATTGTAATTTTAGGAAAGTATTTATCTTATTTGATTTAATCACAAAGATAGAATCAATTAAGATAAATACTCCTAGTTTTTAGGTAACCAAGAATATTTCATCTTATTTCCAGCTGCACAAAATATTTTCAAAATAATCTTTTCGAAAAAATCTTTTTGTAAAATCTTTTTCCAAAACGGCAGCTCGAATATTTCGTACAGTGAACCTGGTTCCCCGACCTGGTTCCCTGAATTGAAACATGTTATGAAACCTGTTCCAACTTTGTACCAGATTTCATATCATACTTCAATATACTTTTAAGCACTTATATAACCCAAACATGCAAGCATACTACGGAGCATATTACATGAAAACCTAGATAACATATTAAAGCATAAATCGTCTTTTCTTCATGTAATCTTCAAGACTTGAATCTTCCTTGAATACTTCTATTATGAGCAAACAATCTTTCTTCGAAATATCTTCGAAAGGCTTCTATGCTCCAAGTCTTGGAATCAACTCAACTACTGCACATGTAACATGGTTAATGCACAATAAAGAGTATGTGACTGCTTTTCCGCATAGCAGTCAAGGAAACGGTTCATACTGGTTCCCCACCAGTACATAACACATTTATCATCTAACTGTTTCCTGTATATAGATAAGTTAATTCAATAGATAACTCATATAATCAATAACTTATCTAGGAAAACAGTGTTCTATTTTAGTTGGTTCCCCCAACTGTATTGAACACTTTCAAAGACCTGTTTCCCTTAGCTGTTTGTCATCATTCAAAACTATCAATCAAAACCTAAGGGACTCAACACTGCACAACTTACTTCACACATGTAAAATTTGCACTCTCCTCACATCTCTAAAAAATTAAATAAAAGCTAGACTAGAAAGCATAAAATACGGGTTGCCTCCCGCAAAGCGCTAGTTTATGAAGGTCCCGCATGATATTTTGTACCTTATCTTTATGATGAGGGTGGAGTTAGGTGGATTTCATCCACCACTCCAACGGTAGCTCCTTCATGGTACACCTTCAATCGTTGACCATTGACCTTGATTTTTTCACCTTTGTCATTTAATAGCTCAACCGAACCAAATATATTCACCTTAGCAACAGTAAAGGGACTCGACCACTTAGACTTTAGCTTTCTTGGGAAGAGCTTGAGTCTAGAGTTAAAGAGTAGAACCTTGTCTCCCTGTGCGAACTCTCTTGGTAGGATCTTCTTGTCGTGCCACTTCTTGGTTTTCTCGTGTAAATTCGCGCATTGTCATACGTTGGCAATCCAAACTCATCCAACTCATTGAGTTGGAGAAGTCTTTTCTCACCCGCAACCTTAGAATCCATATTAAGCTCCTTGATTGCCCAAAAAGCTTTGTACTCCAATTCCACGGGAAGATGACATGCCTTACGGTACACTAGTCTATATGGAGAGGTACCAATTGGTGTTTTGAATGCAGTCCTGTACGCCTAAAGTGTGTCTTCTAGCTTCATACTCCAATCCTTCCTTGACTTAACTACTACTTTTTCTAGAATCGACTTGATTTCTCGATTGGAGACCTCAACTTGACCACTTGTTTGAGGATGCTAACTAAGTCCGATCCTATGGTAGACTCCATACTTCTTTAAAAGTTGTCCAATTGTCTTTCATGGAAGTGAGAACCTCCATCATTAATGATAGCTCGTGGGACACCAAATCTTGGAAATATGGTCTTCTTGAAAAGTTTCATGACCACCTTGGCATTATTTGTTGGTGAAGCAATGGCCTCGACCCATTTAGACACATAATCAATGGCCACGAGTATGTAACAATTCCCATTGGAAGATGGGAATGGTCCCATATAGTCAATAACCCAAACATCAAAAATTTCAACTTTAAATATCCCAGTTTGGGGCATCTCGTGCCTCCTCGAAATATTGCTGGTCCTCTGGCAAGAATCACAAGACATTATGATTATCCGCGTATCCTTGAACATAGTAGGCTAAAAGAATCCTGATTCATTAAGCTTGGTTACGATTTTAGAAGGGCCATGATGCCCACCATATGGAGAGTTGTGGCAAAGTTGTAGAATGCCATTCACTTCCCATTTGGGGACACACCTACGAAATAGTCCATCTGCACACTCACGAAACAAAAAAGGATCATCCCAAAAATAATATTTAACATCATGGAGAAACCTTTTCTTTTGTTGATAGGACATATCTGGAGGTAGTATACCGCCTACCAAATAATTGGCATAATCGGCATACCAAGGTCCCTGTGACACAACTGCAAGGAGATTATCGTTAGGAAGGGAATCATCTATAGGTGTAGAATCCTTACCTCCATCATACCTGATCCTAGACAAGTGGTCTGCTACTACATTCTCCGCTCCTTTTTTGTCTCTAATTTCAATTTCAAAGTCTTGAAGCAAGAGCACCCAACGAAGAAGTCTAGGCTTGGTCTCTGCCTTGGCAATGAGATACTTCAATGCTGCATGGTCAGTAAAAACAATAATTTTAGAACCAACCAAGTATGATCTAAATTTCTCTAAGGCATAAATCACAGCAAGAAACTCCTTCGCTGTGGTGTCATAGTTGACTTTAGCCTCATCCAAAGTTTTACTTGCATAATAAATAGCATGCAAAACTTTGTTCTTCCTTTGGCCTAGCACGGCGCCTACTACATAATCACTAGCGTCACACATGATCTCGAATGGAAGGTTCCAATCGGGAGCACATATAATAGGAGTCGAAATTAAAGCCTGCTTAATCATGTTAAAAGAATCAAGACACTCGTCAGTAAAATCAAATGGAGCATCCTTAAGTAAAAGTTGAGTTAGTGGTTTAGCAATCTTAGAAAAATCCTTAATGAAGCGACGATAAAACCCCGCATGACCAAGGAAACTCTTTACCCCTTTAACATTCACTGGTGGGGGTAATTTCTCAATCACTTCTACCTTTGCTTTGTCCACCTGTATACCTTCATCAGAAACAATGTGACCTAGGACTACACCTTGTGTCACCATGAAGTGACACTTTTCCCAATTTAAAACCAAGTTGCATTCTTCACACCTTTTTAAAATTTTAGTGAGGTTAGATAGACAAACATCAAATGAAGATCCATACACACTAAAATCATCCATAAAAACTTCCATGATGGACTCTATGAAAGCAAAAAAGATGTTCATCACACAACGCTGAAAAGTAGCAGGTGCATTACATAATCCAAAGGGCATCCTACGATAAGCAAAAGTACCATAGGGACATGTAAATGTGGTTTTCTCCTGATCGTCAGGGTGAATTGGGATTTGAAAGAACCCCGAATACCCATCCAAATAACAGAAAAATTTATGGTTTGCTAATCTTTCCAACATTTGGTTAATAAAGGGAAGGGGAAAGTGATCCTTCTTAGTGGCGGTATTTAGCTTAAAATAATCAATGCACATCCGCCACCTTGTCACAGTTCTAGTGGGAATCAATTCATTTTTATCATTTTTAATTACTGTCATCCCACCCTTTTTAGGAACTACCTGAATAGGACTTACCCACTTTGAGTCAGAGATAGGATAAATAATACTTGCATCAAGTAGCTTCATAACCTCCTTTTTGACAACTTCCTGCATGTTGGGATTCAACCTCCTATGTGGTTGAATGCATGGCTTGTGATTGTATTCTAGGTGTATCCTGTGCATACAAAAGTGAGGGCTAATACCCTTTAGATCATCAATACTGTACCCAATTGCCCTTTTGTGGGTTTGAAGAACCTCTAGAAGTTGGGAAGTTTGGGGGTCATCGAGTGCAGTACTAATGATCACGGGGTGCAGTTCCTGCTCATCAAGAAATACATAGTTTAAATGCAAAGGAAGGGGTTTAAGTTCAGGGTTCTTTACCTCTGCAGAGTACGATTCCTAAATTAAATTTTCTACCTTATCGTTCTCATCAGGGCTAAGTTGCTCATTCACTAGAGCTTGCTCTATTGCATCCACCTTTCTACTCCATATGTCAGCATCCCCTGTAGTAAAATCACCACAAAGAACTTCCTCCAAGGAATCCTTTGCAAGGACCTATGGTAAGCTATCATTGCAAATAACATCAATAATATCAATCACATCAATACTACAACAATTTTCTTCTAACATAGGACCTTTCAAAACTCTCCCTAAATTAAAAGTGATATTATCATCTCCGACAGAAAGAGTGAGTTTTCCATTTTTAACATTAATAATGGCTCCTGCAGTGTGGAGGAAAGGTCTACCTAATATTATTGGAATTTGTGTATCCTCAGCCATGTCTAAAACAACAAAATCAACAGGGATAAAAAATTTACCAACTTTAACAGGAACATCCTCTAGAATACCTAAGGGGTATTTAACAAATCAGTCTGCCATTTGCAAAGTAATGTTAGTAACTTTTAAATCACCCATATTAAGCCTTGAACACACAGACAATGGCATTACACTAACACTAGAACCCAAATCACATAATGCTTTATCAATGAAGACATTACCAATATGACAAGGTATAGAAAAACTACCGGGATCCTTTAACTTAGGTGGAGATTTATTTTTTAGTAATGCACTACATTCTTTAGTAAAGTATACAGTCTCTACCTCATTAAAGGCTCTCTTCCTAGGCAAAATATCTTTCATGAATTTAGCATATGCAGGAACCTGTGTGATTAAATTAGTGAAAGAAACCGTTACCTGCAAATTCTTAACAACCTTCAGGAACTTACCAAATTTCTTATCCAACTTACTCTTTAAATGTCTATTAGGGAATGGAAGTTTGATAGCTGGAACCTGCACATCTCCACTCTTGTCCTGAGATTTAACCTACAAAGAATTATTAGAAGAGTTAGTTTTACCCTGGGGCTCTGCAAGGCTAGTAACAACACCATTTGGTATAACAGGATCAGGATTAGCAATTTTTGTTATAATAGGTTCATCATCTTTGGGCATAGAAGGCCCATCATAGTGTGAACCACTTCTCAGGGTAATTGCATTAGCATTATCTGTAGGTTGTACTAGCTGCGATGGAAAAGCTCCCTGCTGGAGAGTTTGCAGAGTAGAGGAAAGTTTCGCAATTTGATTATCTATGATTTTATTGCGTGCTAGGAATGAATCAATTTGCGCATCCCTACTCTGCATCTGTTTCTGCATATTGGCTAACATCGTTTTAATTTCTAACAGGGCAGGATTAGTAGATGGAGGTGGTGTTTGTGGTTGGGGTCTCTAGTTAGGAGATAGGTAATATTTTTGTTGTGGCTGCTGTGGGGCTTGTTGTTGTGGAGGTGAAGGTTTAGCACATTAGTACTCCGGTAGGAAATATCTGGATGGTTCCGGAGACCAGGATTATGAGTGTTGGAGTATGGGTTATTTTGCCTATAGGCTTGGAAGGCATTAACTTGCTCCATGGAACTCCTACAATCTTGTGACCAATGACCTACAATTCCACAATTTTCACAAAAAGCATCGTTAGTGTTATTAACAGTAAAAACATTAGCCATGGAAGCAAGAATAGTAGTACTAATATTATCTAATTTCTGACAAATAGAGGATAATTGAGCTTGCACAAAGGATACGGAATCGACATTATGTTTCCCTTTGTTTGCAAAACCTCTAGGATTCCCATATTGGGAATTATGAATTTCCATCTCTTCGATAACTGTTCCTGCTACATCTTCTTGAAGATTCATAAATCTTCCATTAGCTGCTGAGTCTAGGATTGATCTGAATGAATTTCCAAGCCCGTTGTAGAAGGCTTGGATTATCTGCCACTGTGCTAGCCCATGATGGGGACATTCTCTCTGCAAATCCTTAAATCTTTCCCAAGCTTCATATAAAAACTCATCAGCTTCTTAGGCAAAATTTTGGATTGAAATCCTTAACAAAGCTGTCCTCTCTGCAGGGTAATATTTATTATAGAAATTCATAGCAAGAGAATTCCAGTTAGTAATACCAAGGGCAGTCCTATTCAATCCATTATACCACAATTTTGCTTTACCACATAAAGAAAAGGGAAAAGTAATCTCCCTGATTTGGTCCTGCGTGACCCCAGCTTGTCTGATGGTATTGCAATATTGGCGAAAGTCCAAAATATGAAGATTTGGATCTTCACCCTTAGCTCCGCTGAGTTGCTTCCTTTTGATTATAGTAATAAACTGGGGTTTAATCTCGAATTGTACTCCTTCGAGATTTGGTGTAGGACCAAGATGTGGGAAATTTGTCAGGGATGGCTGCAAATAATCGCTGAGCTTGCGAGGTGGTGGTGGTGGCGGATTTGCCATCTCTGATTCTGGTTCTGAAGAAACTTCTATGTCGCTAGAATTAGATGGGGGTTCTAAAGGTGTATTACCCTCGGAAGTAGCTCGTACTTGTCTGAAAATATTCTTTTGTCTATGAAAAGAACGTTCGATTTCAGGATTGAATGGAATGTAACCTGATCTAGAAATCCTGGGCATAAACACAGAACTAAACAAACAAATATGAGAAACTATCTCAAAGAACTTGCGTTCTCTGAGACGAAAGAAAATAATATAGACTACAAAAATAATTAGAAATAAAAATAAAACCGTTTCCCCGGCAATGACGCCAAATTTTGAAAGGCTAAAGTAGATAGTCGTATCACCTAATCAAAAGTAATTCCTAAAACCACTAACTAAAATAGATAGGGAAGTAGGGTCGAATCCACAGGGAAATATCGTTTTTTATTCCTAATTAATTATGATAATCTAAATCATCAAGAAACAAATAAGGTTTGTATGAATTAATCTAAGGGAATAACCAATAATAAAAAGCCTAGGGTCACAGGTTCGCCAATAATTAATACTCCAGGATAAAACATAACAATCAATTATTAATATTTCAAACATAACACGATTAACAGGCTCTCGTAATTTATTAATCAACATAGTTCTAACAGGCTCTCCCAGTTAGCCGACCCCACTTATGGGATTAAGGCTTTGATTGATTGATTGATAGTTCTAACAGGTTCTGTTGTTAACAGAACTGCTAAAATAAAGAAGGAACGAAGTTACCGGGAATGAGACTGAGTCGCAGACTATGTCGCTCTCTTTAGAATATTCACGGTACTGCCTTTGATTTGTGCAAGCAGCTCTAACGTAACCGGATGTCCCCCAGGATAAAACAGTCTCTCGTAGCAAAAGGATATACCGATGGATTTGAACCACCGGACAACTAAACACCAACACTAATATAATAATGCTCGAATATTTCTGTAAAACGTTTTATGTAAAATCAGAACAATGTAAAACGTTTTCTGTAAAATGTTTTTGTGAGTTGTTTTTCTGTTTTTGTGTGTATTAAACGGTGAGGGAGAGCCTCAAATTTATGTGGGTTGTGTAATGTACCTGGAGAGTTTTAATCAAGTAATTAACGCACATAATCAAGGCCTTAATTCACGTTAATTAGCTGTTGCAAAACGGACAAAAACTTATTGCAATAACCGTTACGGAACAGTCAAATAAAAATGGGCAAAAAAAAAAAAGAAAACAGTAACAGTTAAGAATTGATTATGAAATCAGTTACAAAATCAAGGAATTAATCCTTGTTCAAAAATATAAATCTGTTTAAGAACCCAACCCAACCCGGCCCGGCCTGGTTCGGTTCGGCGCGCGTGTGTTAGATTGGTTTGGTAGGTGAGTCCTTCCTCTCCACAAAATGTGGGTAGCCCAAGGGCCACACCCCTTTAGGTGACACACACCTATATAAACCAAGCAACACTCTTATTTCCCACTAATGTGGGACTTTACCATTTTCACAAATTTCACACTTAAAACAACTTTGTTCCAACAATCCCCCACTTGAATTTTTTGAAAATATTTTCGAGCAGAATCCTTACATGTATAGGTTGTGCATAAACAGAAGTGTTTTTCAACTTGAACTTCTGCGTAGTGAATACAACACACTACCTATTCTCGGTGTTTGTCATAGACCCGTGCTATTACGGCCATGCAAGTCTATCCTAGTATAGTGAACGCTCTAGAAATGCTGCCCACATTTCATAGGAAGCGGCCTCACTTCCACATTCACATAGGTTAATCTATCAAGAGTACTCCTATAGCTAGGTACTCCACTCCAAATGGAGTATAGATTTCATTAAGAGTTCCTATTAACTCATCCTTGATCGCTTCAGGAATTTATGTTACTTAAACATAATCAACTCATATCACTCCATAACTTGTTATTACCCATTGAACCTATTTCTTGGGATCTCCAGTCTATAGGTTGGGTTACCATTATGTGTGACTCATGTTAATGGCAATAGTCCCATTTTCTTAGAAAAATCATGGACTTTCTCTCTAGCCAATCCTTTCGTCAAAGGATCAGCCAAATTATTCTCAGTGCGTACATGATCCACTCTCATAGCTCCAATAGAGAGATATTCTCTTACAGTGCTGTGCTTACGACGTATTTTTCGTCTCTTACCGTTGTAATAACGGTTCTGAACTTTTGCAATAGCCGCGGTACTATCGCAATGGATCAAGACAGCCGGTAATGGTTTTTCCCACAAGGGAATCTCACCTAGTAGGTCTCTTAACCAACCTGCTTCTTCACTAGCTGTAGCTAGTGCTATCATCTCTGACTCCATGGTGGACTGAGACAAAATAGTCTGTTTCTTAGACTTCCAAGATACAGCTCCACCGACTATAGAGAAAATATATCCACTAGTAGCCTTAGAGTCATCTGATAAGGTGTTCCAGTCGGCATCACTATAGCCTTCTAGTACAGCTGGAAACCTCTCATAATGTAATCCTAGGTTCATGGTCCTCTTAAGGTATCTCATGACCCTTTCAATAGCATGCCAATGCTCATTACCAGGATAACTAGTAAACCTGCCTAATAATCCCACGACATAGGCAATGTCGGGTCTAGTACAATCAGTGGCATACCGAAGGATGCCAATGACGCTTGCATAATCAGATTGCCTAATGGCTTCACCAGTGTTCTTAAATAACCTTACACTGGGATCATAAGGTGTACTAGCAGGTTTACAGTCAAAGTAACCATATTTCTTTAGGATTTTCTCAATGTAATGAGACTGATCCAAAGAAACTCCATTTTCAGTCCTAGTAATCTTAATCCCAAGGATTACATTAGCCTCTCCTAGATCTTTCATATCAAACTCAACATTCAACAATAGCTTTACATTATTCACAGCGTGAATATTCGAGCCAAAAATTAACAAGTCATCCACATACAGACAAATTATAGTGCAAATGTCATTCTCAAATTTTACATATATGCATTTGTCACTACCATTTATCTTAAAACCATGTGAGATGACTAAGTTATCAAATTTTTCATGCCATTGTTTAGGTGCTTGTTTGAGACCATAAAGAGACTTATCTAATTTACATACCAGATGCTCTATTCCTGGGATGACAAAGCCCTCTGGTTGATCCATGTAGATTTCTTCTTCCAATTCACCATTCAAGAATGCAGTCTTTACATCCATCTAATGTACTACAAGATTAAAAACAGAAGCAAGAGATATTAGCACTCTAATAGAAGTTATTCTAGTTACAGGTGAATAAGTATCAAAGAAATCAACATTCTCCCTTTGTGTGTAGCCTTTAGCTACCAAACGAGCCTTATACTTATCAACGGTCCCATCAACTTTCAGCTTTCTTTTTAGGACCCATTTGCAGCCAATTGTTTTGCAACCTGGGGGCAACTCAGTCAGGTGCCAAGTTCAATTAGACTCAAGTGAGTCCATTTCATCATTTACGGCTTCTTGCCATAAATCTGCATCAACTGAGGCTAAGGCTTCTTGGAGGGTAGAAGGATCCTCCTCTACATTGAGGACTTCAAAGTCCGGGCCAAAGTCTTTTGCTACTCTAGCCCGTTTGCTCCTTCTTGGTTCGGGTTCAACATCCAAGTTCTGTGAGCTAGACCTGATTGCAGGAATAATAGATGAGGACGAACCCCCACTATTTCTAGATTTAAAAGGAAACATGTCCTCATAAAAATCAGCATCATTAGATTCAATAATTACACGTGCGTTTAAATCAAAGAATCTATATGCTTTACTATTAATAGCATAACCAATGAATACACATTCATAAGCTCTATTAGCTAACTTAACTCTTTTAGGATCAGGAATCCTAACATATGCTAGACAACCCCAAGTTCTGAAATAAGAAATATTAGGTTGTTTATTACGAAGTAATTCATAAGGAGAAACCTTACTCTTAGTCTTTGGAATACGGTTCAAGACATAACAAACAGTGAGAAGAATTTTTCCCCACCAATGATCAGCAACACCAGAATTTAAGGAAATAACAACTACTAACTCAGTAAAAGTTCTATTTTTCCTTTCAGCCTTACCATTCATTTCTGGAGAGTAAGGGGCTGACCTTTCATGTATGATACCGTGTGAATTATAAAACTCTACAAAAGCATCAGTATCATACTCAGTTCCACGATCACTTCGTAACCTTTTTATTTGCTTGTTGAACTGATTCTCAAACTCTGTCACAAACAACTTAAACATATCAAAAGCATCACTCTTATTTTTCATCAAATAAACACGAGTATAATCAGAACAATCATCAATAAACGTGATAAAATATCGTTGTCCATTTTTGGTCAACGTTCCATTAAATTCACAAATATCCGAATGAATTAAATCTAACGGTTCTGAGTTTCTAATCACAGACTGATGAGGTGTTTTTGTAATCTTAGCCTCACTACAAAAATCACATTTATCAAAGTCATTGAGAGAAATATTAGGAATAAGGCCTAAATTGCTCATATTTTTTATGAGTCTTTTGTTCACATGACAAAGTCTAGCATGCCAAATATTAACAGAAGAAGACAACATATAAGCAGAATCAGAAATTTTATTAATGTAAACATTCAGTTTAAACATGCCATCAGTAGCATATCCTTTTCCTAAAAACATGCCATTCTTAGTTAAAGTAAACAAATTAGAACCTATGGTTTGTGTAAAACCAGCCTTATTAAGAAGAAAACCAGAAACTAAATTCTTTCTCATTTCCGGAGTGTGCAGCACATCCTTCAGGATGAGAGTCTTGCCAGAAGTAAACTTCAACTCAACATTACCAATACCAGCAACAATAGTGGAATGGGAATCACCCAACATCACTTTCTTATCATCGGTCTTTTCAGAATATGTTTTAAACATCCGACGATCATAGCAGACATGGCGCGTAGCATCAGTGTCTACCCACCACCCATCTGATCCACCTGTAAAGTTGATCTCAGTAATCATAGCCACAAGAGGCTCTTCAATCATGCTTGCCTGCGCAGTTGCAGGGTTAGGCATGTTCCTGCACTTACGTGCCATATGGCCTGGTTTTCCACACCTATAGCATAGAAATTGACCAGTACCATTCTTAGGGGGTTGAATCAATTGTTCTTTTGAACATTCGTTTTGTTTTTGTTGAAGTTATTCTTCCGGTTCTGAGGCTTGAAGTTCTTACCAGCAGGCTTGAGAACTGCAACAGATCGCTTAGGAGCATTGTTTGCAGTGAGCTGTAAGACTTCTTCTTTCTGGTCCTGTTTTCTGGATTCTTCCTCTATACGGAGCCAAGTGATCAAACTCTCTAAGGAAAATTCCTTAGTCTTGTGCCTGAGGCTGTTTTTGAAATCTTTCTAAGAAGGAGGCAACTTGTCAATAATAACAGCAATTTGAAATTGTTCATCAAGAGCCATACCTTCGGAAATTATCTCATGAGCAATTTTCTGAAGTTCGTGGGACTGCACTTCCACGGACTTATCATCAGTCATCTGAAATTTCAAGTACCTGTTGACTGCATACTTTTTGGCACCGGCTTCTTCGGTGTCATATTTCTTTTGTAGGGCATCCCACAAATCCTTAGCAGTGTTTTCCATATTATAATAGTCATACAGGTTATCAGACAGACCATTAAGAATATAATTCTTGCACATGAAATCAGTTTCATTCCAAGTTTCAATTTCACTATTCCAATACACTAGGTCATCTTGTTCAGCATTATCAGGAATAACAGGCTGATGGACAGTCAAGGCAGAATGCACTTTCTTAACAGTGAGGAAAAATTGCATTTTTTGTTTCCATCGTTTAAAGTGAGCGCCTTCAAAACGGAAGGCCTTGTTAAGGTCATTTGACATAGTGACATCCTCGGTAGACATAGTAACTACGACAGGCAGTAAAGATTGTTCTAAAATTGTTGTTAACGGAACTGCTAAAATAAAGAAGGAACGAAGTTACCGGGAATGAGACTGAGTCGCGGACTATGTCGCTCTATTTAGAACATTCATGGTACTGCCTTTGATTTGTGCAAGCAGCTCTAACGTAACCGGATGTCCCCTAGGATAAAATAGTCTCTCGTAGCAAAAGGATATACCGATGGATTTGCACAGAACCACCGGACAACTAAACACCAACACTAATATAATAATGCTTGAATATTTCTGTAAAAAGTTTTATGTAAAATCAGAACAATGTAAAACGTTTTCTGTAAAATGTTTTTGTGAGTTGTTTTTTTGTTTTTGTGTGTATTAAACGGTGAGGGAGAGCCTCAAATTTATAGTGGGTTGTGTAATGTACCTGGACAATTTTAATCAAGTAATTAACGCACATAATCAAGGCCTTAATTCACGTTAATTAGCTGTTGCAGAACGGACAAAAAATCATTGCAATAATCGTTACGGAACAGTCAAATAAAAACGGGCAAAAAAAAAAAAGAAAACAATAGCGGTTAAGAATTGATTATGAAATCAGTTACAAAATCAAGGAATTAATCCTTGTTCAAAAATATAAATCTGTTTAAGAAATCCAACCCAACCCAAACCAGCCCGGCCCGGTTCGGTTCGGCGCGCGTGTGTTAGATTGGTTTGGTAGGTGAGTCATTCCTCTCCACAAAATGTGAGTAGCCCAAGGGCCACACCCCTTTTGGTGACACACGCCTATATAAACCAAGCAACACTCTTATTTCCCACCAATGTGGGACTTTACCATTTTCACAAATTCACACTTAAAACAACTTTGTTCCAAAAGGTTCTCGCAATTTACTAGATCTAAGTTCCTATTGAAAATAGCCTTTAATATCAAATTAACACATGCTCGATTCATCAATTCAATATTGCTATACTTTTACAATCAAATCACATCTGCTCGATTCATAATCTAATTGTAAAGAATTAAAACAATCCAATAAGAAATTATTATGCAATATCAATAATCAACCAAAACAATTCATCCCTTCATATTAATTATGGATCCCCCTAGA